TTAGCACATAGTGTTCAAGAGAGTGACCATATGCCTGATCACATTAATTTACTTTTAGTTTGATCAATCTGTGTGTCTCCCAAACTGCCAGAAGTACTGTAAACCATGCTAAGCCTGGCCACTACAACATCAGGTCAGTCTGTTCACATTGCAAGTTTGCTCATAAACATACTTATCTACGTTCATGTTATCAGATGTGGGTTATAGCGATCTACTCAGCTTTAACTGCATTCTATAACATCATTCTCATTATTTATTCTCTCCTAATATTATTCCTATTGCTAGACACAGTTATACCAAAGTTATATTCTCGTTCTCCTTCTGGATATCTTCTTGGCTAACATATCAACTTTATCATGATGGAGTAACCATATGTGTGATGGATCCATAGCAATTGTACATTAATTCCTTGTCCCTAATTTTTGAGTATCTATACCTGGCTTCCCTCCAATGAGCATGTTGTTGGAGTCATTATTATGTGAGCAAAGAGCTTCAATAATGACATTAGAAATCAGTAATGATGATAGAGATCAAGTCAGTGTCATAGGTTAGCTTTTGGGCCATTAGGATTGCAAAAAATTCAGTTTGCAGTGTAGACGCCCAGTTGTGAATTCTTATGCCTAACTCAAAATTTATCCCCTCCACCCCCCGCCCCTTAAACTAGGGAGGTGGCACAAGAGCAGATGGCAGCCCTGCCAGAAGACTCCTGTTTAGATCATCAGTGTATATAACTTGTGATAATTATTACTACCAGCTAGGCCGAAAAATTTCTTCTTGAGCAGTTGCTCTAACAAGAGATTAAGGAAGGGCTTACTAGCAATGCGTTCTGGGAGGGACTTTAGGTAGGTGATATAATGAACCATCTACATGGAGGGGTGGAAATGTGCTTTGTTGCCTACAGTGATACAGTTCATGCAGGTTATAGAAACTTTAATGCAATTTGCCACGTTTTTAAATCGTCAGTCATCACACAAACTTCTATTTACCTCATTCTTTTTATGTGCCAAAAGTGACACTTCATTACAGCACTGGCTATCTCTTGTCTAATATCTCTTTTTGCTTCATTAATTCTAAGATTTAAATGCTTAAACCTTTTCTTACCACTTTCGAAACATTTGTATGCCTACTGTGGTGCATGACTGTTGGCCAGATTTAAGATATGGCTAGAAAAACGATATAAACTCCTAGCAGAGGATGGTATGTATCCCATGGGTGACGCACAAAATTTTTCCTCTTCCACGAAGTGTTGTTGTTAATTTTACGAAGTATTATACAAAAAATATGCCGCAATTCTTAATCGTTGCTATAATCAAAGTGTGTCAAACTCAAAACCCAGTGTGATCTATAACGCAAATCAATGGCAGCTACTACATAGTACATATTTTACCTCAGAACTTCTCTCATAATCCAAGCCCATGCAAACAATCCGATACCCGCCTATCCAACAGCTCGTCTGAGTGGATGAGCCCATCATGTAGTTCTACTGTACTGACCCAGTGTTCAAGCAGCACCACCCCATGCTACCACAGCACTGACCTCAAATGGTGAATGATCTATGTTATTGTTAAAGACTGTATCCACTAAAAGATAATGACCGAAAGGAGTGAAAACAAATTACTATCACTATTTCTACTTGGTTTTCTAAAAGTTTCTTAATATGGAAAAAAAGCCAGGAAATGAGAGACAGGTAATGTGATTTCTACCTTTGGGGTGACCTGTCTGGTGAGAAATGGCCGGTGCTAAAACTATCAGAAAAAATGAGATGTCAGAAATGTTATGGGGTTATCTAAGTAAGCTCCCAGAAAATCAGAAACCACAAAACTCCATATACCCTTTAATTTTTTTTAATTTAAATTTGCCTTTTAAAGATTTCCCATTACCTTGCTATGAATTTTTTTAAAAAGAGAATTGACCATAAAGATTATTTAGGCATGGGGTATTAGAGAGTAGCAAGTTTAACCTAAATGCCATTGCTTGTTTTCAATTTAGGGGTTGTTCACAATGACAAAAAAATAAACATTCTAAAAATCCATTTTGTGTTTGAAAAAAAAACAGTCGAAATAAGCAAAATTAAAGATTTGTACAAATCTGAAGGCTGGAAGGTATACATTTTTTAGAATGTTCTCATCGGGAATGTGTTGAATGTGCGATTCCATTTGCGTGTTTTCCCACCGGAAAACTTTACACTGTAATAAGGTTGTTTATTTTCTCTTACCTCCTGGGGAAGTGGAACAGAATTCTTCTCCGTTAAGTCATGCGTGTTGTAGAGGCCAACTAAAATGCCGAGAGCAGGGGTAGTACTCTTCTCCAGTATATTTATTAAATGTAAAAGGTGAAACTTTCGTTTTTCTTTTGGGCACCCTCCTCGGAGGGATAGGCCGGTGTGTTGAAAGAAAGATGTAAGTAAAAGGACACAGGTGCAGACTAATGTGACATTTTATGGTGGCAACGTTTCGCTCTCCAGGTGCCAGCTGACGATGAGCTCCTGGAGAGCAAAAGTTGCCACTATGAAATGTCACGTTAGTTGCATTGTTTCTTTTACCAAACTTAACATTCAAACACTTAAAGGAACGTTCCTAAAACATTTGCAAAGATGGATTATATAGCATGCTGTTGCCACTGCACTGGAGGGATCTCAGCGGGGAGCAAAAAGTGAGAATAAGAAAAAAAAAGGCAAAACATGAATAGATAAAAAAAATATAGGGGGAAAATAGGCAAAGGAATGAAGAATTTGAAGTTTCATTATATTTGATGGACTCTGATGAGTTTCAGAATCTCTTTACTCTAAGAGCCTGGCCATGGGCCAGGCTCATCTTGGTGCTTGCTGGGTTAACCAGGGGTTGCTGTGGAGACATGCCCCACATAAATCCATCACAGCTGGCTTAACTGGCACCTGGTGAAGATACTTGTCCAATCTCTCTTGAGGCTTCTATATTTGTACCGGCCATGTTTCGGATATCTTTGGTAAGATGTTGTGAAAAGTCGGGGCCATGACTTGTTGACAGTGTTCACCTTTTCCCAACTGCACCCCTGCTCCTCACGGGTCTTATTTTGCATTTTGTCCCATATCTCTCACTCCAGTATGATGTTTTTATGGCAGTTTGCAGTTTTGGATAGGCCCCCTCCAGTACCTATTCAAGGTGTATATTATATGTTTCTCTCCTCCATTGGCATTATTTCCCTTGTTTTTAGGTTCTCATTTCCTATCCTGTCATTCCTCCCCAAGTGTCTTTATCCGTGTCTTTTGTTCTTTGAATGAGAGGTCATGCTCTGGCAAATTATTCCCAAATCTTTTACGTGTGCCTTCGTTCTATTGGGTGATCCTCTTCAGTTTTGTATACAGTGATATCACCACACTTTCTAGCAAGACAGCTGTTAACCCTTTAAGGGTCGCAGGCCCTCTCCTAAATACTCGTTCTCAGGGTCGAGAAATTTTCGGGAAAAAATATAATTTATTTTTCTTGTGAAATAATAGAGGTCTTTTCCCGATCAAAATGACACCAAAAGTAGAATCTGATGGAAACTTACAGAATTATGCTCTCGCAAAGTAGTTGCCGGTCTCAGCGGATGTTTAACACATCAGGATTTTTTGCCTACTTTGAGCCTTATTTTTGGGCAATTCCAATGTACTGTCGGACCAAAACTCTTTGCTATTTCGCTAGAGTCCATTTTTTTCTATCGTATGAGTTACAAGAAACCACCATTTACTGATTTTCAAATATCCAATAAAGAGGTCAGAAAAGTGGCATTTTGCCAATTTCACACAAATTCAAAAAGATGCCAATTTCCAAATAGGGTCAAGAATAAATAAGAAAGACATTCCTGGCCTAATAATAACATTTCTCTGTTCATTTGGTCACATCCCCAGGCCCTCTGTTACAGTTTTTATGCTTTCCACTATTGAATTTTTATTCTCACAAAAAATTAGAAGATTTACTTCTTATGCTGAGTCTAAGCTTTTATGTAGAAACTGTGTAAAATGGTTATAAAAATTCAGCGCACTTGTGAAGAATTCAGAGTCACAGTTGATGTGTATTGGGTGGCATGGCATGATTTGTTTACTTTTGACCTTTGGCAAAAATTTACATTTCTGTACTTTGAGCTCAATTTCAAGGACCTTTTCCTTTGTGAAACCAATAATCAAAAATCATCTCATTTTCTGTAATTTGTCTTCCATTTATAAAATGAGACAGGAAAAAACTAGAATACAACCATAAATAGCATATGAAAATACACTGCAAATTCGCTGTTCTAAACCAAAAATTCGATCAGATTTTTTTTCTAATTATGCACTATGTGCTGCAGGATTTTTTTTATACTGCACACACTAACCACATAGACCTATTCTTTCATATGTAGGCCTACCAGCTTTCTCTCACTAGATTTGAAGGCGCTAGAATTTATGGGTACTAGTACGGCACCAACCCTGGTGTGCAAGCCGTACTTGTACGGCACCAACCCTGAAAGGGTTAAGTAAGTAATTGTGAACCTTTCCTTCTTTAACTCACCCTACCTTAACAAAAAAACAGCTGTGATAAAAAACCAACCAGTACTCTGTAGAGCATAGCAGGTACTGCTCTACCCTCTCACCATTATCACTCTTCATCTGATTAATACACTTGACCCTAATCCTTAAGTCAATACTGTATACAAGTATTATGCAAACCTAAATTCAATTAATATTTAATATATCTAGCCTGTCCTGTTCTTTTTTTTAATATAATGTATACTGCAATGTGCATAAAAAAAATACTAAAATATGCTTTTAGACAGGAGCAGTTCCAACACTAAAATAAATCAAAGCAAATAAGAAATAATGCAAAACAATAATACTCCAAGACATTATACAAGGCAGTTAATTTTTATTATAAATTAGTACAGTGTTGATTACAAACACCACAATCATTTGAATCGAGTAGAATTCACTACCAGTTAAAAATTATCCTATGAGAACTCAATCACCCTGCCTAGCCTTCATAATGCTCAAAATAAAAGTTTACCGGTGATGAAGTTTCTGTAGGCTCCTCTGCAGAAGCGGCCTCTGGTTCATCTATAATTGTAGGGTCAGCAGGACCTGGTGGTGGTAATGGCGCCTTGGGTTTTGTCACCATTATCACTAGAAATTTCTTATCATCAATGTTATATGAATCGAGTGTCGTATCATCTTGGAGGATTTTACCTACAAAGATACAAATTACTAAATTTAGTAATTACAGTAATGTGAACCCTGTACAAAATAACAAAATACTTAAGGTATAGATAAAATAAAGATTTCAACAGTTTTATAAGTAAATCCTTGACCTAACAGACCTTGATATAATATACTTTTAAAATTACAAACTCCATTAGGTAAACTATACTTTAGGTTCCTTTACTTTCAGTGTTTGTTGCCAGGATACTGTAAAAAAATGCATGCCCTTAGTACTATATTAGGTAGAGTGCTTTAGTTTTTTTTTTTTTTCCTATTTTTGGAACACTGTTCCAATCAATTTGAGGTTTACTGTAATAAGTTGTCTCAATGGAAATGTATTAAAAACAGTTTTCTAAACTCGTTAACAGAAGCATACCATGTAAAGAAAAATTCTTGTGTGGGGCAACATTTTGAGGGAAAAAAATGATTACAGGGTGGCAAAGTCTCCAAAACACAGCTATTAAAATAAAAAATTTTTTTTTTCGATACCTGTATGAATGACTTTGTCAAAAAACAGAATAAATGAAATCATTTCTCATGGCTGGCTCAGGGATGCTGGCTGCCAGGTGGCAATGAACTTTACAGGGAAATGCCAGCACATCACACACAACACTGTTGCTAACTTATTTAGAGTGTTGCAGATTCAATGTTGCCTAACCACAGAGTTCACTGAAGTGGGAGAGGTGCATCTGCATTTGTTCACAAAGAAAAGGAAATCAGATCGCCCCTCAACTGTTAAATAGACAGTTACTTTTGCTAAAAAATTGATAAAATTCCTTTATTATGTATGGCAATTTTTAGGGGACACCCTGTTCCCTCTAGAAAAGTGTATTTTAATGAAACTGAATAAGCTTGTGAAAATGAGTGGAATTTCATAAAAAACTTATGATTTTATGAATGTGCTGAAATTAAGGGTTCCATAAATATGATCTACATCGCAAGGGTGGCATGAATGCAACGGTGATATTTACATTTTACAATTTTTTGATGCCAAATCACTGGCACTAGTTTCTTATAGTGTATTAGATGTGTTTCAAGATGTTTTAGTACTTCAAACATAGGGAAATGCTTATCCCAACATTGCTCCAAATAGAATATACAGTATAAATTGGTTCAAATAACTGTTTTTATTCTATTTTTTACTTTGATCATCTAGCACTATGTAAAAGTAAAACCTGAATTATAATTGCTTTCGGGTGTAATATTCCTCAAAACATTGAAATGTCACGCTATCTGCCTATACAGTGGAACCTCTACTTACAAGTTTAATCCGTTCCACGACTTTGCTTGTATCTGGATTTGTGTTACGAGCCCCTACTTCACTCCATTATATATAAAAATAAAAGGCCTGGTTAAAATAAGTTCTGTAATAATATATCGCGAACCATTGTATTATATTGTATTATATTATATTATTATTAAGTTATATATTACGAATGTGTAACCATTACTGTAGTGACCAATTGGTGGTTCTAGAATTGACGCCACGCGTCGCCTTCTGGCCGAGCTGAAGTCATACTATGGAGTAATTGAGCGAGTCAGTCAGCTCCTAGCTGACTCGGTACGGGTCTTCAACCTAAAGCTCCTAGCTTAAACTAAAACTTTAAACCAAGTCTATTGTCTTGCCTTTGCCATTAGTTCTGAAGTCTGGTAATTCATGTCATTATGAAAGATAACTGATTTCGTTACCCCAGATCTTTCTAAAGAGTTAATTGGTCGAAGAATATAGGATTTTAATTGAATTATTGTATCATACTCTCGTTAATGAGAATTGAACGTAAGATTGGGTTTCTTGCTGTATAGTATTTCATTTGTAATTGTTTTGGGGTTATTTTAATTCACTAACCAAATACCAATAAACTAAAAATCGCCCATCAAAATTGTGATGGCCTAAGTAAAAGTTCAACACATGAACCCCACGTAGACCACAAAAGCGCAAGAATTAGAATGAAACCCCAAATCTTGAAAAAAAATAGAAGTTTAAAAGGAAAGACGCCCTGCTAACCCAAACGCCTCCGGCCAGCAACCATTAAACCCCAAAGCTCGGGGAAAAAAAAGCCTTCTCCATTGTCACAGATCTACTTCAGTGATACATAAAAGGATATCGCAAAAAAAACAACACATAAAAAAAGAAAAACCCAAAAGGACCCTAGACTCAACTTGTCTACCAGCAGAACGCCGTTGTTCATCAACCCCCCTCACCGCCACCCCCCGGGAACAAAACAAAACAACAAAACATGGTGACTCCCCCTCCCAACTCCACTCCCTTCAAAGGATTCCCCATGATTACTCAGGTTGATTTTTCCTGAAAATATCAAGGACTACATCGTTTTTTAAAAAAACGAAATCAAAGATATAAAAGCAACCTGGGCGACGAGAAACCCCAGAAACCCAAACCCTCGGAACAAGATCCAAAACCTTGAAGAAAAGTTTTACATGGGGAAGTGTTGACACAAAAAATACTCTGAAAGCATTAGCCAGTCAAACGAAAAAATAACTACAATAATAGAAGGTTAAAGACAATCAAGGACAATCAAACTGCACATCGACTAAATGAATCCCTTGATTTCCAAGACGACAAAATGAACAAGAAAAATTGTCTGTGCAGTTATAAAAAAAGCCCAACACTTTTCCAAGTGACAAAAACACAAGCTCGTGAAAAGAAACTGCTGTAGGAAAATACGGGACCACGTCAAGTCTCGTGCAAAACAAGAAATCAAAGAAACACGTTTTTTACGAAAACCAGAAGTAAACACGTATAATGATCAGACTTATTCATCGATAAAAGAAAGGACCTAATTAATCAGCAATTAAAAATGAAATAGGAGTGACAAAAGAGTTTTAAAAAGAAAAGTAAAAACCCCTTCTTTTTCGGGCTGAAAACAAAAAAAGGGAAAAAAAAATACATCAGGTTTCATGCGAGAGGGAAAATCTACAGGAAAACAAAAAGAAAACAATATACTATTCAAAGAACACGTTTTCTCTACCTTCCTGAAAAAAGCGTCATTTCTCTAACAGATTAGATAAGTGCCCTTAATACATTTAGGTGGTGCTATAGTGTACCTTACTATTTATTTATTGTGCATTTTTATTTTTTTCATACAAGCTAAGTAACTACCCCCAATACTTTTTTACTTTTTTCTTAGCTATTAAATTTCTCATAATTTTTTGTTTCAAATCAAAAATTTCTTCTCCCAAATTAATTTTTCATTGTTCTTACCTGTCCATTTAATTTTTTTTTTACCCCTACTTTTTTTTTTGTCACTTTTTATTGGTGTCAATTATTATTTTCCAATTTCTTTTTTGTAATACCAAAACTATCTTTTGTAGCTAGTACCAACTCCCCTTTTTTTTACTTTTTATTGTGCATAAATGCTCACTTATTTAATATTCAAATCAATTTACTCCCAAACCAAAATTTCATAGTGACTATCGTCCATTTAATTGTTTACCCTTTCTTAAATTTTGTCCCCTTTTATATTTTTTTTCCTTTATTTTAGCTTTTAAATCCTTAGCTCTTATTCACCATTGTTAAAATAATCAAGGTCTATTCTCAGGGGCAAAGTTAATAAGTTCATATTTTTCCTTTTACTCCAAAGTCATTTATTCGATTTTCCCCTTTTTTGTTCACCACAACTTATATTAGTCCCTTTTTTATTTAAATTTTTATTAATTCTAATTTAAAGAATTTCCTTTAAATACTACCCACTATCAATTTCCCCAAACTCCATTATTTACCTCACTTTTTTGTTTCCCCCCAAATTTTTTTAGCACTTTTATATTGTCTCCTTTTTTTTAACTTTAAAAAATACCCTTGTTCATTATTTTTACATTGTTAAATAAATTAGGTGTATTTTTTTTTTTTTTGCTTTAGAAAATTTTTCTTTATTTTTTATTAACCCTTTGACTGTTTTGACGTATAAATAATCTTTCGAGCCAAAAGTTTCTGCTATATTACTCAAAAATTCTAGCGGCTTCAAATCAAATGGGAGAAAATGGTAGGCCCCCCTTTAAGAATGGGTTGTGTGGTCAGTGTGCTCCCCTAAAAAAAAACCTGCAGCACACATTTCGTAATGAGAAAAAAAAAAAATCTGACTTTTTTTTTGGGAAAAAAAAACGCCCACTTTGAGGTGTATTTTTGTTTTTTTAGTATTTATCGTTGTATTCGCTTTTTTGGTCTTAGGTGATAAAATGGAAAAAAATATTACGAAATAGAGATGATTTTCATTACTTTTAGATGAAAACAACCTTTAAATGAGCTCAAAGTAGCAGAAATGTTCGATTTTTACCAATGTTCAAGAGTACATAAATCACACCACACGTCCAATACACGTCAACTGGGGAGTCTAATATTCTTTCACTAGTGCACTGATATTATTTATACCATTTTTACAATAATGCAGTCGTCTGCATAACAGTAAATTTTGTATTTTTTTGTATGAATAAAAAATCAAAATAGAAAGCAATAATAATATAAGAGGGGCCTAGAGATGTGACTAATGAACAGAGCATATGTTATTTTAGTGCCACAAATGTCTACCTTGTTTATTCTGGACCCTATTTTGAAATTGGCATCTTTTTTATTTTGCGTGAAATTGGCCAAATTGCCAATTTCTGACCACCATATTGGGTAGTCCAAATTAGTAAATGGGAGGTTTCTTGTACTCAGCTGATAGATAAAATGGAGTTCTAAAGAAATAGCTATGAGTTTGGTCAACTGGAACAATGGAATTGGCTGAAAATTGGGCTCAAAGTCGGCGAAATCGCCGATACGCATATGTCGCCGAGACCGCTAACTTCGCGGGAGCATAATTCCACGAGTTTTCGACCAAATTTCGAACTTTTGGTGTCATTACCATCGGGAAAAGATTCTCTATCATTTCATAAGAAAAAATAATTTTTTTTTTTTCAAAAATTGAGCGACATAGAATGACAGTTTCAGAGGGGGCCTGAAACAGTAAAAGGGGTTAAATTTAACTAATTTCAAAAATCTTATGTTTTAAAGCTTTGACCAT